CAAACCTAAGCCAACCCTAATGACTTACCAACCCCTGATTAGACTTTTAGCACCCTAATCAGACTTGAACTAAGCCTAATTGACCTAATTCTAATCTGATCAGACCCTATAAGCGCCTAAAACCAACTCCTACAGACCTGCCCTGATCTAAACCGACCCCTACAGACCTATACCTAGTGATTCTAGACATAACCGACCCCTAAACCAACCTGTTTTAGTCAAATCCCAGTTAATCAGACCTAACCGGTCAATGTACCGGACTCTATGACTCAAAACCTGGTACTTAGGAGTCTTATCTAGTCCTAAACTAGATAATACCTAAATCTATAATCAGATTCTAATCTGATTAGACCTAGACAACATCTCTATAGACATTCTAAACCTCTAATCAGTCCTAACCAAGTCTATTTTGACCTAATTATCTACTGATCAGACCTAAAATATGCTAGACTAACCCGAATTTGGCTAAACCAGACCTAAACAAGACCTAAATAGCACTTACAGACCTATATCAGACCGGTACCAGCCTATTTAAGCCTAATCAGACCTCCTACCCAACTAAACGTAGTCAAATCCAACCTATTCAGACCTATACTGAACAGAAACAGGAATCTATGACCTACATTAGCTAAACTGAGATCTAAAACAGGTCTATCCTTAGTATATTTCACTAAACCAAGCCAAATTTGGATACTAGACCGACCTAACAGGGTAAACCGATCACTACAGACCCTAATCTACCCTAAACCAGTCTACTATGCCCTAAACCAGACACCATCAGACCTAATTTGAACTATCCTAACCCTAAATCAGTTAGTTCTAGTCCTAATTGTACACTCCAGACCCTAAACCAATCTAATCTAGTCCTAGACCACGAATTCAGATCCTCACCTGACCAATACCAGCCCTAACCACTTTGTGAAGTTGGTATCAGAATCCTATTAGCCTAAAACCAATCTGACCTTACCTAATACCGGACCCAATTGACCTAGACGGTTCAATTCTAGCCTAATTGGATGAACAGACCCTAACCTTAGACTTAAACCAGTCTAAACCAGCCTTAATTCACCTCCAATCAGACCCTATTGGTCTGAACCGAACAATTCTAGCCCTTTCTAGACAAATCAGACCTTAACCAAGACCTAAACCAGCCTAAACTAGTATGAATTGCCCTAAACCGGACTCAATTGACCTAAATCGGACCTGAATTGACCTAAACCGGACTCAATTATCCTAAACCGGACCTAGATTGACCTAAACCGGTTTAAACCGGTCCAATTGACCCCAAACCAGACCTGAACCGGTCCGATTTGACCTAAACCGGTCAACTGTTGACCAAATTGGTCAACGGACTGACCGAACCGGAGTGAACTGTTGGGATTTCCTGGGATCTCATGAGCGAATCCTATTCCTAAGAGATCGACTCTAGGGTTTGCGCAGCGGATATAAAACAAAAATTTAATAAAACCCTAGAACCATGCTGCTATGATTCGTAGAAACGTTAGAACGCTTACCTCAATCGATCCGGGGCCTGTATCAACTGAAGAATTCGTCCGATCACGAAAGGCAGGAAGTTTACCTCGCCCTCTACACGTATCCACACCTCGGGATGGATTCCAACGGTTGGAACTTGTCTGCTAGGACTCGAATCTCTATTCGGTTTTTGTGCACTTTGAGAAAACGAGACTTTGAATTCCTTGAACTCTTTGGATCTCACCAAAAGCTCTTAGAATTCTCTGAAAGTCGGCTCCCAAAAAGTCTCTATATTTGATTAGGGTTCTTAATCTCCTTCTTATAAAGTGATTTAACCCTAATTCGGTTTAATTTCGGAAAAACTGAAGCCCGGAACGGACGGTCCAGAGATACACGCGGACCGTCCGTTCCAGCACGTGGAACGGACGTTCCGCTCACGTGGACCGTCCGGTCTGGTTCGGGCGGACCGTCCGTTCTGGACTTTCTGGTCCGTCCGTTCCAGCCCCTTCCGTCTCGGTTTTTCGTCGTTTTCTCTCGTGCATTTGTCCTTCCCTGCGTGTGTGACCCTGTAGGCTCATTCGACATAGCAGTATAACCTGAAATCCCTATTTCGGGTATACAAGTCATAGGCGGTCTCTAGCAAGACACTATGACTACCTATCTCGAATAGAGTTTGTTCGTGATCATACGAACGCCAGTGATGATTCCGGCTGATGATCCTTTTGTATCGCGATATCATATGTCGAACATAAGGCATGGACCAGCCACCTTATCTGATTCGACTGCTTTCTCGTTAACTGAGTTTTGACTGTCTGAAATAGACGACGTTCGTCTATAGTGTGGCCACACATTTCTACAGTCTCGCTCACACGAGGGGCCCAGCGATATCTCTCTCTTTTACGAGAGGTACAAATCCCGTCTTGACTATCTACAATCCAGTACATGATTCGTTTCGTACCTGATACACGCCTTTATAATCCTCCTGTTACGCAGGACGTTAGACGTATTCAAAGCACGCAACTCCTCATGTTGGATTCCGTAGATATCTCAGGTCTTAGGATCCAATCATGGAACTGTCATATGAGATTCTAGTCATGACTCTAGTCCATGTGACAATCTCATGCGGGTCATTCCAGTATTCCGTTCTCCAACGAATACCTATGATCGTGATCGTATCCAATACCTATGATCATCTATGTGATCATCAATCACACATCATACTAGTCTTATTATGTCGTTATTCCCATAACGACATAAGACTAGGGAGTTTAGTATCATTCATAATGATACATGGATTTCATAACAGATCTAGCATGCAAGAACATGTAATGAATAAAATACTCTCGTAAAAAGTATCAATACATCGAATGTATCTAAACAAAGCTCATAATCAGCACATCTTTGAGCACTAAACCAACATGAACCGGTCTGAACCGGCCGGGACCGGGTCTGAGCCGGACTGAACCGGCCGGAATCCGGTCTGAACCGACGGAACCGGGTCTGAGCCGGACTGACCGCCGATAACCGGACTTGGATCGAATCGAACCAGGTTCGATTGACCCAAAACCGGGTTAAACCGAGAATTAGTTCGATTAAACCGGTCTGAACCGGATTTAATTCGAAACCCTAATTTCGGAAATCCTAGCCGCCGAGTCACCCGAGTTGGCTCGGTGGTTGACTCACCCGATTCCTTCACTCAAAGCCTAACTCGAACGAGTCAGGGGCCGAGTTTCGCCAGAATCGGACTTGTCTCCGCCGAGTTCACCGAGTTTCTTTGAAACTCGGTCTCAAAACCGGAGAAAACGCGGAAGAATAATGGAAATCGAGTCAGAAACTTACCTGACTCACCGGGTTCGAATCATCTTCCACCGAGTTTCGTTCTCAGATGCATCACCACGATGGATCTCTCCACCGGCAACCCTGAGCTGTTAGATCTGCCACCTATCGTCGTCGATCTGGTTTCGGTATCATCTGAAACACTCCACCAGACAGATCAAAACGCTCAAACACAAGAGATTCGAACCGCAATATCTTACCTCGCCTTTTCCGGCGACCTTACCTCCCTGGATCGATGAACCAGGCTCTGATACCACTTTGTGAAGTGGATATCGAGTTCTCACGGCCACTCCGGCTCTCGTACGTGCGGAAATCGAAAGAACACAACGGATTTTTACAAGTTCGGTTACCGAGTTTCCTCGGGCCTACGTCTCGGCCGGAACGGCGCCGGCGAATCCACTAGAAGAAGAAGATACAACAGAGAAGAGAGAACCACGGCGGCCTCCACACCAAGACCGGAGGCTCACCGAGAAAACCACGAGAAAGGAGACGAGAGACTTACCGACCTTCTCCGCGATTCACCTTTGGCGACCGCCACCGGTCGAAGTTTCTCCATCGCCGGGAAGCTCCTCCGCCACCGCGATCTTTCCTCCTCCTCACGGTCGCCTCTGCGATTGTCTTTGTCTCTCTCTCGAAGTTTCTTCTCGAGCACCGTGTCATTTTACCACAAAGAACTGATAGACTTAGGGTTTCATTTAACCCTTGCACACAAAACGCCGCGTATCCAAAAGACTCTCCCTCACACGGAGGGTTTCGCTTCTTCACCAAACTGGGCCGTAAGGCCCAACAGCGGCATTATATTATCTAAATCTGTCTTTCTATTACAAATCGTATCATATCGTATCATATGATATGATAGGATATGATATGATATCATTTACCCATTAGTCCAAACAAAGTAAACATCAGATTTCTCTGCAAAAGCTTCGGGGAAACGGACATAAGTTGAGTTTTGGTCGGTTCAAGCGAATTGCAACTACTCAGCTTTACAAGAAGGGAATCGCCGGTACATGCTCTTGTTCTCAGATCGGACATTTGATCTCTGTCCCTTACGAAAATCACAGAGCAAAGCTCACACAACAAGATCACAACCTCGACACCATCCTTCACCAAAATTACGAAACGAAATCATCTCCAGAACCCAATAATTCAGACTATGCCGAAAAAAAACCCCCACGGATTTCAAAATTCAGACATACCCCAAAGATAGGTTATGCTCGACGACTTTAAATTGGGCCTACAAGATAATTATTTCAATTATTATTGGGCCAAAATAGGTTCACTTACGACTCTTCAAAATTCTTTTTCTAAAAACTTTTAAAAATTCCGTTGCCGGGAATCGAACCCGGGTCTCCTGGGTGAAAGCCAGATATCCTAACCGCTGGACGACAACGGATATGATGTTAATATATTTTATTTTATTTTGATCTTTTGCAAAATAAATAAATTGTAAAAATTCCGTTGTTTCAATGCATTTAGCAAAACCCGTTTCGGACACTAAAATATCAGTTTTTTCGTAAAGTTTGGAACTTTAATGCTGCTAAAAAACAATTTGTTAAGATGATAATAAGCTAACCAAAACCCTGAGACACAGAGATTGCCAGGTCTACGCTTTTATCTTTATATGATATCTCCATACATTGAGGAACAAAACAAAGCAACAGTGATATATATATATATATATATATATATATATATATCCATCGGACAAGGCAGGGCGTCCGGACAACAGTGTGTTTCCAAAACAGAGAGTTCAGACTAGGATTTATAACATTGGAAATGTAAAACCTGAAGAAGTGATCACAATCACAAATTCTTGCATTACATTGCCATTGGCTCGGGACTGGCCGTGTTCAAGATGTCCAGCAACGAGTTCTGAGGCTCCAACTCTTCGTGCCACAGCGGCAACTTGTCTCCCGGGTAGAAGTTTCTAGTCACTCCCTCCGAGTTTATCTGTCAAAAACATCATCAAGTAGAAATGTTAAATCTGGTTCTAAGGAAAGGTATGTGTGAAGGGGAAGTCTCTTGTGTCCTGAGATGAGAGATCTCTTACTATGACAGTGCGGACAACGCCTCCACTAGCACCGTCGCGTGCAATGGCAAGTGATACTGCCTTCACAACCAGTTGCTGCAATTTGGGTGTGGATGGATATATATAGCTTGTCATTGTTATAGTTAACAACCAACTAAATGTTAAATTTATAATCTTGAGTGAATGCTTATACCTCAGCTTCTTCCTTGGTCATTCCTTCCTTCCATGCTTGATCAAAGAAACCATAGAGATAGCTCGAACCAGAGCCTGCACAAGAAGAGCCCATGAGTTGTAAAATGGAAAACCTATGTGCAGCCAACCATCTAGCGACAAGGGATTACACATGCAGAAACAGGAATCCGGGATGGAGAAACGATACACACACAAAAACCACAAAGAGATGTCTACTGATTTGCATGCACCATGTGAATCATACCTCCAATGGCGAAAGGTTGCTCTACTACGGTTCCACCAAGAGGAATTCCGTAGATTTTCCCGCCTTCGTATTTATCCCAGCCACCGACGATTAGACCAGTTTTCAACATGTTCTGCCCAGCAAAGAGTGATCAAACAGTCAGCTATCAAAACAAAATCCACCAAAAGCTAATGCACTGGACAAGCATCTAAACATAAGCATAAGTGATAGACTTTAAAGTTTTGACAACATAAAAATCCATGATTCAGAGAGCAGAAATCTGAAACAAATTAGCATACAAGGAAGCACAAAAGAACAGATATCTACTTCTAGGGAACAGGATAGAGCCAACAATAGTCGCATCTTCAACAGCAACTTATAGTAATTCTGTCTGACGTTTGAATTTCTGGATCAGGTCGTCATAAACATGGAAAATTGTCCTAAACTAAAGCAACCACGGCTCAAAACTTATAATACACAACTCGCAACATAGATACATAAAAGAATCACGTATACCAGTAAGAGAAAGCTCAACAGGCAAGGTAACTCTCTCTACCCCGCTCTTTCAACTTCACCTCAAAAAAGGTAACAAATTTAAGCTAGTGCTCTCGATGAACTTGATTTGCACTAACATGGTGAAGGAGATACTACTTCTATCTCCACGTATTCTCACCGTTTGAATCAAAGCTGACCGTAAAACAACCCAAACCGAGCTGTAAACATTCAATGCAACATCGCACCTTGTTGGAATAAGAGAGAAGCCTGATGAGATTGGCAGCAACTTTAACAGTCGCAGGTTGCCCCAGCTGAATCCTGCAGAACATCAACAGATCCAAAAAGTCCACATCATCCAGAACCAGAAGCATAAGATAACATATGTATCAACTGAAGCCATGCATCCTTCTCGGGTCCAGGGGAGATGGAAACACTCACGTATGTTGATGAAGGAAGTGGCGAACGTAATCAGAGACAACCTGCGAATCAGCGGCCTGCAATACAAACAACAAGAGCCCGTCACAATCAGGAAACTGCATACCCATCCCAAGCCTAAAGCCCTACGAAATGAACACGACAGGGAGGAAGAAGACGAGCTAGGGCTTTAAACCAGAGCAAGCAAAGAGTTTTTCACTCGTCATATATCAAATAATCGCACTGAAGAACCAAACAGACGAAACTTTCATGAGAAATCAACACCTTGACAGGACAAAAATGGTAATTACCGATCCAGAGCGGCAAACATAGACATTATCAGTGAGCTGCGTAATCTTATCCGAAGCTCGGTTCGCAACGTACATCCCTGCAGAGGATTACCCACTTCAATTCCATAAATCTATACAAAATTATCCGATGAACCATCGGAAAAACTCAAAATTTTGGGTTCGATTGAGAAGGAAAAAAAGTTGAAAGCAAGCGCAGATGAAGAGCTACGTAGAAGAAGAGAGAGGAATCGCAACCTGTGCTGGTGCGGGAATCGGCTCCGAGGACGACACCGCCATCGTAGGTGACGCCGATGATGGTCGTTCCCATGGAGTGGGGAGCGTCCAGATTCAGATCCATTGCTGTAGAACTTGGAAATCTCTGAGAAACCCAAAAACCCTAGAAACCCAACAACTGTGCCCGCGAGAAGAAATCAGCCTAGGGGATGTCAAGGCGCAGGAGGAAGGAGATTCTTCTCTGTCGATCACAGTTATGGAGTCCCAAACTGACTTATAGCGCAAGTCGGGCCCTTTTTCTTTTCGCCCTTTAACTTTTTTTTTTGGAAAGGAATTCTTCCATTTGAAGCCAGAAATTGGATTTAACTTCGCCCCAAAAAGTGTGGAAAAAAAACTTTTCAGGTCCAAAATGAAAATAAAAATTATTCTGAGACCAAATGGAAAAGAACATGAAAAACATATGAAGGTTAATCCGAGCGAAACAGTTTCAAGACAGTGTAACGCGAGTTAGGACAGGAAGAAGACAACAGAGTTCCGTACAGAGACATCATATGATCTCAAGGAAAACAGACAACGATCTGGCTTAAGAAGAAGAAGAAGCTCAGCTTCTGCTTCTGATTCAGCATCACTACTTCGTCTAAAGACTACTACAACAATGGTTATATAGTTGTGGCAATGGCTTCTGGCTGAGAACTTAGCTGATGAGCCGTGGGAACATTGCTCTTCGACTTGTGAGCTACTCGGCTCGCCGAAATCGCCGACCTCGTTTCCTTTGCCATCCCTTTCGCTTTCATTCCCGTCGGAGACCCGAGAACCTTCCTCACCTCGTTGGCAAGCTCTATCACGTAATCATCCTCGTGCCCTGTTAAGCACCCGAAAAGAAACGCTTAGAAACCGAAAAAGGTAAACGCTAAAGAAACATTGCTTTGTAGACAGCGGATTTCGACTCGCCTATGTCGTGCATTGCTTTCTCTAACAAGAAGAGGTACTCTCTGTTGTTACCGCATGGTCCTACAGCCGTCGCAATTTGTCTTCACGTCCCGAAAAATTGAAAAGAAAAAAGACTTGTGTGAGGGCAAGAATCCGAATGACAAAAAAAAACACGAAAAAAAATACGTGCAACACAATCAAGGATTGATGCAAGCGGGAGGATGTTAGGGATGGCCCGTAGATACCCGATTTTCGGGCACCCGACCTTCCACCGGTACGGGACGGTATTTTTATTACAAGTCCAACAGATACGTGTATGAGTAATTAAAAACCAATGACGGACACTCATGTACACCTGTTAAGGGTATATATACTCCTATTAATTTTCATCTTCGAGTACGGGTATAGACATCCTAAATTTTCCGGATACCCGATCTATATAACTTGTATTTTGCATTTTTTTTTTGTTATACAACAATTTTTTAAAATAATTATCAAATTCGGATACGTGAGTACCCAAACATTTTAACAGGTACTCATAGTCCGGATACTTGAGTATGACTATATGTATCAATATGTGATACCCGAAACTTCGAATACGGATCCAAAACCCTGTATTTTTCGGGTATCCGACCCCCGTCTACCTCTACCGGAAAATTTACCTGGCCATATCTTCCAAGGGAGCAGGTCCAAGGTAAAATTTGTTGGCAACCTTGTCCGGAGTCGAAGTGAAACTGAAATTATTTTAAAAAGAAAAAGTTATATAACATCGAGGAGAGACATAAAAACAAGAAGGAAAAAAAAAAGATCTAAAATGTTCGTCCCTTGGTTGAGATTAGATGTCATCTTTTCATAACACCCAAGGGTCAAGCTTCGTGCCTAAGACCTGGTCTTGATACAGTGTATATACACACACACACACACACACAAGTAACTTACACCATAACTCCTGTCACAGCTGCCTGCAGCGGATCATCTTCCTGGTTGTACATAAATTCCGGATGTCAATTTTACTAATAAAAAAAAACATTAGAGAATGAGGTTTGGACATTATTATTTTCATATGGTTTCCGACCTTGTAAAAATCCACGTAGGTCTTCAGATCATATTCGCATTCCCTCCTTTCCAAGTACTACATTTACACGCAGATGAACCAAAGAAAAAGCAACAAGGTGTTCAATAAACAGCTTTCTTGCATAAGACATTATGTTTTGAAAATCAAATCCAAAAATTAAGATGAATCTGGAAAATGGGTATAACCTCCATGACGAGTTCTTCCCGTTCTGCTCCTCCACGGACGCAGAAGGCAGCGCCCCACTGCCAAGAAAAATCTCGGAATTGTTATAAAGAAAATGCTGAAACCAAGCTTCTAAGTTTTTTTTTTATAATCCGAAAGTTAATCGTGCCTTTAGCCCAACTACATCTCATGACCCGAAAAGACCAAGTAAGTGAATGTCCTCTCTCCAAGTGGAGAATTGAGGTGGAGACTTGAACATGGGTGGGTTAGGAGGAGCTTTGTCCCATCCCTTCAACCACCCAATCTAAGGTTCTTGAACTTAATGAATGTAATTAAACGTTTTAGAGAAATCATACGATAAGATTCGGACTTACACATATGGCTCCTTCAGATTTCTCAAGGGCGCAAGTTCTTGCAGGGTGTTGAGGTGTGCCTCTATGATCAATGCAAGCTACGATATGAAAACAGTAACACGGAAGATTCGATCGATCATCCGAATTTAGAAACATCGATTCATCAAATGTAAAAGGGTTTTCTTACAAACAACTTGTTTAGGAACTCACCGACATCGAAGACGCGCCTGTAATCCTTGATGAACCCGATCACTTTCTCGTCGTAATCGAATCCCGGGTTCCAGACAAGTGAGCCATACCCAAAGACCCACATCACCATTGCTGCAACTGACAGACAAAATCAAAAATATAGGATTAAGCCAAGTCACCGTTGGTGGTCTCATCTTCAATTGAGAGAAGGGCCAAGATTTGTGGAGGCAAATGCCTCAGAAGGAGAAAAGGGTACAACAACGCATAAGACAAAACAGAGCAAACACCCCTTGAGAACAAGGAACAACTAAGACAATCCACAAGTGGACCTGCTGCAAGCAAATGGTCTTAAAAACTTTTCACTGGCCTATTGAATTATCCACAAATAAAGCCATATGTGTTCTGTTCAATACAACTCAGAGACATCAAAAGAGAGAAAAGGAAACAGCTTTCTTCCTTTCCCCATTGCCAATTGAGGGGTTTTTCTTTTCTTGTCTACGATTCTGCATGGCGACTAAAGAACAAAAGTTAGGGTTTTTACAGGAACCAATCGCAGGAAATCAAAGCCCACTTATGCATATGCTCCCAAACTCGCCAAAAGGGGGAAAAGGTCTCCGTCTTTTCTCTCCAAAATTAGCAATGCAGTGTAACAAACCCAGCAAAATCAGAAAGGAAGAAACTTTCCACGATGTCCTATTTTCTCGGTCGCCAAACAGGAACTTTCGTGACTCAATCAGACGAAGAATGCGCGAAACATGCCACGAAAACATCAGAAAACCCAGAAATGTACAAACAAAATCACAGCCCGCAAACGTGAAACGGCGCGACGATCGCTCACCTTCGGAGAAGTTTGGACGAGAAAATCCCACGGTTGGACAAAGATCTCGTCTCTAAACACGAACCCGGAAAGCAGATAAACTCGTGGAGAAACACGAGGGAGAGAGATTGCAGAGAGGAATCTGGGAAGGCGTCGTTTTCGATTGTACGCAGCTGGTGATACAGAACCACTCAGCTCTCTCTCTCTCTCTCTCTCTCTCTCTCTCTCTCTCTCTCTCTCACTGGTTTCAGGTTGTGTTGAAAATGGGAGGAGGAGGCGAGGTGAGGAAGAAGAGCATTTATACCGAGAGAGGGGGAGAGAGAGGATCATGCCACGCATGTTGTTTTGTTGTTCATCAGTTTCTTCGCTTCCTCGTTTGCTGCGTCACGTGACGCTGAGGACGCTGGTTTCATGCTTGTCCGTTCTTTTTAATTTTAAGTCCAAAAATTAAATTTCGATGTTATAATATTAACCAAAACTTAAAAAAAACTTCAACAAAGATTAAAAAAAAATTCTAATTCTATTTTTATTTGTTTAATATTTTTTTTGTTAATTTAAACTTTGAGCTATATATAAATAAATAATATAATTTTATCACCTAGAAAACCACATATACGAAGAAGGTTATTGAAATAGTCAATAAATTTGGCTCTGCATAAACAGGATTAGACTGTATTTGGTAAAGAATTGCATAACCATACATTGTGCAGTTTTTTGTTTTATAAATATATGCACACAGACACAGTCACCCTTGGGCTTTGAATATTGATTTTTTTGGACCGACATAGTTAACATGTTATGACCCATACCGAAAAGCCAACGACCCTTCGCTAATGACAATTTTTATTCAATTACATTTTAAGTTAATTTTTTTTAGAAAATTTATTTTATTCAACAAAAAATTAAAATTTATTTTCTTAAAATATATATTTTTTTTAATTTTTTTTTAATTTTATTTATATTCAGTCTAGAGTTATTGATTTTTAGTTTAATATCAATCTGAACATAATTATATATTATTAGATTTTATATAATTTTTTACCTCAAATAAAATATCTTAAACCTACTTGCAAATTTTATTTTGATTTCATTATTTCTTATATAATCAAATTAAAATAAGATGGTGGGAGAGTTGAGACAACTTATTACAATTAGTTATAAACAAATAAATAAATTAAAACTTCATTTTCTCTTAACCAAATATGTCTGTGTGGGGGGGGGGGGGGCT